TGGACACTTTTACCGCAGAGGATCTGTCGACGATCGGCGGAATCGCTACAGTTTCGCTTCTTCACTCGTTTATTCCGACTCACTGGTTGCCTTTCTCCATCGTTGGGCGTGCGCAGAAATGGACGCTTTCGAGAACCTTATTCGTCAGTATGTTTCGATTTCTTAACATCTTTGGAAAACTCTAACTCTGCTTTCAATAATCGAGTATGTGCATTGTTTGATTCAACTGCTGCTTCAATGGTGTCTATTTGCTGTGAAGCCTTTAGCCCTTTTGGCATGGAAGTTTGATGTGAATGGTTGTCATACTGAAGTGAGAGTAGCGTAAAGCAGATTGAAATGATCACTTGGGATTAGGCTTTAGAAGAATCACTGATCTTATTAGATCAGTTCTCTATTCTGAATGTATGGAGAGATATTAGTGTCACGCAAGTTTATCTAGAAAAGTACATGACATATTGACATTACCTGATGGAAATTTCAGCTTTTCATGGAAAGAAAGATGAACAACCATCTGATCTTGCCTAAGCTACTTCATTTATTTTTATGAGTGAGAATGTTACTTGTTTTGTGAGAGATGTTGATGTTTATAGCTTTCCATTGTCACTTTACAAGGGCTCGAAGAACTGCTTTGGAATTCTAAAACCAGTTAGGGTGACCAGTTTTTGTTCTTATCAAATTCTTCTCTTGTGACAAAGTGTTTAAAGACAGCCCTTCTTACATTCTTACTACTTATGTAGCAATTGAATTGAGTTGCATGATTCAGTGTTTCTGTTTCTGTTTGGTGCAGTCTTTTTGTACATATCCACACTTTCTTTCTGATTTTTTCTAGTGTCACTAAATTTCAGCTGCGTTTGGAGCAGTCTTGCATGTGATATCCACTTCCCTTCTTGGTATAACAGCGATCACAATGGCAAATACCATCGCCGGTGAAGAGACCGTTCACAAACTTGCTTCCCTTTTGCTTGTAATTCTCGGTGGAAGCTATATCTTGCTGTTTTTAGCCGGTAAAGGAGGTCACACTCATTCTCATAACCAACCCATGGAGAAAATGGCTGTTGCTGGGCTTGTACTTGTTCCTGCATTGTCTCCTTGTGCAACAACTCTCCCAGTTTTCCTCGCTGTTGGAAATTCAAAATCGATGATGGTTCTCGCCATCATAGTTCTGCTTATCAGGTGAGACCAATACTACTTTTTTTTTCTTATCTTTTATGCTTCAAATAAACATATGTCTGAAATGATTGGGTGTATTCTTTGAACAGCACCATATTGGTGATGACATCGCTGGTGGCTCTATCGTTCTATGGTGCAAGCCAGCTAAAGTTTCACTGGGTGGAGCGATACGACAAGCTACTGGTGGGTTCGGTCTTGTGTCTGGTAGGTATCTTAACCCTTCTCTTCCATGACCACGAGCACCATGATCATGAAGCACATCAACTCCACAGGAAAATCATTACCCTCTAGAGAGACCGGTTCGAGTCTATGTTTTGCATTGTCATGTCTGTTTGTTATAGAGCGGCTTTAAGAAGGGTCTATTAATCTTTCTGATTTGCGTTGTATGTCTATAAATACTAATAGTTGTACTCTTTGCACGTCAAGCAACATATGTCAGTAATCAATTTCCTTTAATAGAACAACGTTTTGCAGGACTATTGTGGTTATTCCATGACTTTGTAGTTGCTCCTTTGAAACTGTGCATGAATAAAATTGTTGGAAGTTGGGTTGGATTCTTGTAGGAACTAGTTTTGTCTTCAAATATAATATGAGACTTTATACATATGTAAGCAATATGTTAAATCCAATATATTATTATGCTATAGCGGACAAACAAATATTGAGACTAGGTGGAGTGTTGGGTTTCACTATAGAGTGAGAACCCTCCAAATATAGGCGTATGCCATCCTCTGTATTAATAGATACTAGATAAAAATCATGCAAAGAGGATTTTAAACAATTTTTAAAAAAATCTATTAAAAATTCTTAATGACATGAACCAAATTT